GTGTTTTTTGCTTGTTTGGTTGGTTTTGTTTAAAAAAATAAAAAAGCCTTTTCAAGAATCCTGTAGAAAGATGAAAAGTTCACTAGAACATTTTTTTTTCTTCATGAACAAATAAAGAGAAAAAAAATAAGGCATTGAAGAAAAGGAGTTGACTGTATGTTGACTTGATTGTTGACTATCATTAACGTAAGTACCTACACATAAAGAACATATTTTATTCAAAGAGGCAGTCAGCTTACATGAATTCAAATATCCTTCTTACCATCTTACCGTCAGTCATATCATTAGATGTGTTCAAAGGTGTCCAATGAATTTAGGTACCTAAATTCCATATACTGTAGGTGCACCATCTTCACAGTAAATGGTGGATCACTAGAATTTGTGAGCAATTTGAAAATCAATGCCCACAAGCAGAACAAGACCATAATGGGAAACCATCTGTATATTGTATGGGTGGGGTCAGTCAATGATGGGTGAATTCAGTATTTTACCCTAGCCAACATTTTCCATAAAAATGATGAAAAATCACATCAAAAAAAATCTCTGTCCAGAGTGTCTGAAAATTAGCTTGGCTGCATTTTCTCATGTAGCAGTGATACTTGTTGTCAAGTGTACAAGATGCTAACAAGAAAAGTCCTGTTAAAGAGGAAAAATGGGCAGAATATATAATAAATAAATGAAATTGTCTTTTAGTATTTTTAGTCTTAATCATTTCTTTTTGCATATCTTTTTGTTTTCAGGAATTGGCCAACAAATTATTTCCAGCTTTGCATCTTGTCCTGCAGTTAGGTGTTGCTTTTGCTTCTATTACCGATGGAAAAGAAAAAGAAAATGAAGGGAGCTTTTTAGGCTGGGAATGATCACAGAACATCAGCTCCAACATAATACAACTTTGCTTATCTAATTATTGCCTCTAGGTGGTTGTGATTATATTTTGTTGAAGGCAGTTATTACACTGTGTCATGTTGCAGTATCATCCCCAGTCCTGATCCACAGATGTGGTGACAAGTAGTCATCACTTCAGAATTAGTCTAGCTCCCAGGTTGAATTAAATTATGACACCAGATTACCTATGTTAAAATAGAGTGAGAGAGAAAGCTTTCAGTTTCCAAGGCAGTGGGAGAGCTGAGAAGACCCTATTTTTAATAAGAGCAGTACCTACCATTTGGTAAGGGACTCTAGGCAATGCATCATGTCCTTTTCCTTTGTAATCGACTTATTTTATCATGGACAAAGGATTTAATAACAATTCAGACTTCACTTCCAGAGCCAGTTATTATCAATCTTCCATCAGAAATGTACAAATAGTGTTTAAAAAAAATTATAGGAAGTGTTATTAATTTACTGGAAACCCACCATGTAAGCCTATATAGAGCATGTAAAGGTTTCAAATCACATTATTCTCTCTTCTTTTCAGTTGTATGTATTGTAGCTCAGTGTGCCTTAGATGTTATCCTTTTGAGCTACCTCATAAGCAGACCTGGATGGGCTTCCCTCTGGCTAATAAATGAAAGCTGAATAGAAATGTGTTTGCAATGTAAGACATACCCAGGATGTATTCTGTCATATAAATGAATCACCACTTAAAATTAGGAAAAAATATTTTAAAATAAGCATTAGCACTGCTCATGACAGCCAATTTTGGCAGGAAAAAAAAAAATCACAATATATATATGTTAAAATACTGTTCATCTCTGTCATATATAGATCCTCCTCTCCAGACCTAGTACTTGAGTGTCTTCCAGAAGCACATTAAGCAACATGACTAATGTCTCTTGTCTTCATTCTTTGAGTTGAAATATAATATTATTTTACAAAAGCTATCTGCAAGTTGATGAAATATCTTTGTAATGAACATAAAATCTTTAAATTACTATGAATATGATGGAAAAAAAAAATAGCCCTTGTGGAAGCAGGTACCGTTTCTCTTGATGTAACTGGACAAGTGCCCAGTTATGTCAGGACAGAGTATCTATACAGAAGCAGCATAAAGCAGTCTACCTTCTTGATGTATGGAAGATTTCCTGACAGAGAAAGCAAGTAATCCTTCACAACAGCATTCAATTTGCAGGATGGGAATTAAGATTTTTTTTCTAATAAATACAACAGAACTTTTCTCTGAAACTGGAAAACACGTCCAATTTTGTAGCTGTTAGTGCTTTATTTTCCTAATCCTGCATAGGTTTACTGATACAGACTCTTAAACTGTCTTTTGTATCAAAGCATACAGAAGACTAAAGGTCTAACTTTTTTATGTCATAATAACTTACTCTAAGCAATAGCTCTCAAAGACTAGAGACCTATGAGAAGACTAAAACTTAAATAAATGTACTGCTATTCAGAGGACATTAGCTTTCCCACAGAACACATATGTCTGGTGTCATATTTGGACAAGAATGTAATTTAAGCTTATGGAGTTACTGGTAATGTTTGTATTGCAATATAAATAAAGATTGCAACCAACCTGGACCACATTGTAATAGATGCTGCACAAGTGCAGAATAAATTTCTGTCCCTTCCTAAAATGTTTGGTTGCCTTCCAACAAACTGACTGTGAGATTGCTAAATAATATGCCTGCACAAAGAAATAATAGGCTAACAATCTCAGACCAGAGGAGCTGTCAGCAGCTGAAGCTGTTGTGCTTCACTGTGACTGACTTATTCAATGGCATAATCTTTTCAGATAAATAGTGGGATTCCCATAATAACTATGGACAGAAAGAAGCCATCATGTGAATTGCTTACAGCAGCCTCTTGGCATACAGAACATCATGGGAGAGAATTTGAGAGGTCTGGATTCACTGTTTTTGTGATTGTCTTTCACAGTTGTCCTTCAATTACACTGGCATAAAAGCTTAGCTTCAGTCTTAAAACATATTTTAATTTGAGCCCCAAATTCTCAGCCATCTTTTTGCCTTTCATAGTACATGAATAGAGAATTAGATGTATTCAGCAACAAAGGCAGTATACATTATTTGTTAGAGGAAGAAATGCTGACTGTATGAAATAGTAGCAAGGATTAGTCTGATGTCAAGGATATTAACATGTCAGGATAAGGGGTGAAAAACAATTTTGTTTTGCTTTTCTCTAAAACTGCTTTGTCAGAATTCATGGATAATTTGGAAAAAACGATACAGAAGACCTCATTATTGTATGTTGTGTAGCTCAAGTTATTCCACTTGGCAGCAGAGAAGAACAAAGGAGTTTTTTGTGCTTTTTTTTTTTGTTGTTTGTTTGTTTGCTTTTGTTTTGTTTTGTTCTGGTTTTGTTTGTTTTTGTTTTTCTTTCATAAAGTATTTGGTGAAAGCTTATTCTTTTCCAATTTGAATTTATGCCATCTGAGAAGCTGTGATTTTAATGACATATTAGACATTGATACATCTATTTAAATATATTTTTATTTAAATAAGTGCTTTGATGTAGTGAGTGTGTTCTCAATGTTCTGTGTATACATTTTCATGATAACCCTTTTGCGGTTATGTGGGAGATCAAAGACTGCAACTCTGCACAATCTCTGCCAAAAAGGAGCCTCTGTTTTCTTATGGAGTCTATGCAGTCTAGTCCATAACGTTTGGTTGATTCTTCTTTCAAGTGATCACTGTTGCACATTCCCAAATTTAGTGTATATTTTTTCTTATGCATTCTTAATTGCCATTCTGTCTTTAGCATTGCAATAGTCCTCATTTTCATGAGACTCTTTAGCCACAGCAGGGCTAAATATTTTTACACATTATCATAATTTTTACAGGGTTTTTACATATTACAGTATTAGCCAAGTCTGTAAGAAGTCAGCATGTCCCTGCAGATAGCAAACATGGATGCATCTATGGGCAACAACCACATATTTATTTTCTGGCATCCCAGAGCTGGATGCTTCTGCATCAGTGTGAATCATTTAACAGCAGCAAATATATATGTTTTGCCAAGGATATTGCCATCTCTTCCTTATTGTATGCAGTGCCCCATTTACAGGCCACAGCAGTCATTGAGCTCTTTTCCAAAGGAGATTTAAGGAGGATGACAAATGGACTCTACAGGAAGATGGAATGCTATGCCACCAAAAGCATCTATGCGTGCTGATCTAGAGTTGCCTAAGGATCTTAGCAAAAGAGATGATCACACATTTCCACTGCCCAAAGAGAGATTTCAGAGATCTCTGCTGTGATTGGTATACCATGGGCTCAGTTCCCAAAAACAATATTTTCCAGAAACCAAAACTTAGAAATAGGTAATGTTATGCACCTGAGTACATAAGAGGCACAGAAGCAGTAAAGTATGAAATGCATTTGAAAAAAAATGTAAGGTCTGCTATTCCAATACCAACAACTAACACAAATTGGAAATAATAGTCTGGCTGTGACAGAGCTGGTGGAGGGTTCTAGTACAGTGCTATAGTAGAGTAGCAGATTATTGAGAGTGCTAACATTTTCTTAGCGTTACCTAGACAAATAATACTTTAAATAGAATTCTGCTCATTTAGAGCCAAGTCTCATTCAAATTACTTTCCAAATTACATTTGGAAATAATTTTTCAGATTTATTTCTGTGGTGTTCTCCTATACTGTAATAACTTCAGATAAATAAAGCCTATCATTGTCTAGCTATATTTAAAATATTACAATTTTGTTTTATTTCTATCATATTAATGACTTCACATTTAGCATAACAGATTTAGTATACTGACTATGGAGGATTTTACAAGGGGCTGAGAATGGCATGTTCAAATAGTAAGTGGACCAACCCTCACTGAAATTCTAAGTGTATTTTTGTTGTTCAGTGTTGTAGGGTCAACATCTTTCTACCTGGAAGTCAATGGGAATCCAGGCTATACCTTATTTTTCCTTGCCTCTGAGTAAAGTTATTTCTAATCCAAATAAATGAATGTAACTAGTAACAATATATTAGGACAAACTTTACTAAAGGTAATGTAGGAATGTAATCAGAAAACTCTTTGGGCTTTACTAATATCTCCTTGCTAACATCTCCTTGTTTTCCCTGCAGAATTTTTCCGAGAACTTCTTGAGAATGCAGAAAGATCCTTAAATGACATGTTTGTCCGGACATACGGCACGCTGTACATGCAGAACTCGGAGGTTTTCCAGGATCTCTTCACAGAACTGAAGCGGTATTACACAGGAGGCAATGTGAACTTGGAGGAAATGCTGAATGATTTCTGGGCTCGGCTGCTGGAGCGGATGTTCCAGCTTATAAACCCCCAGTATCACTTTACCGAGGACTACTTGGAGTGTGTAAGCAAGTATACAGACCAGCTGAAACCATTTGGAGATGTACCCCGGAAGCTGAAGGTTCAAGTGACTAGAGCGTTCATTGCTGCACGGACCTTTGTTCAGGGGCTGACAGTAGGCAGAGAGGTTGCAAACAGAGTATCCAAGGTAATCTAAAATCAGGGTTTCTTAAGCCTGAATTTATTTCAAACATACTTACTAGAAAACTGAAATCTGATTTTTTGTATTAATATTTTTAATGGAGTGATGTTTTTCTAGTGTGTTTTTTTTGTTGTTGTTGTTTTTTGTTTGTTTTTGGTTTTGTTTTCTGGGGGGAGGTGTAGTGGGGGTGGGAGTGTGCTGATGTATGCATACTAAATTTATAAATAAGGATAATAGTTGTTTTTAATTCCTGCTGAAGATTTTATGGCAATATTGACTAGAAAGCATTTCCCTTTGGACACAACGAAATATCAATATCCACCAATGTTATAGCATGGTAGTGATTTTCATTAGCAATTCAAAACCAGCTAGCATAAAAGATGATGGTCATGATCAGAATTAAAATGTTTAAAGTAAATTTATGCTGCTGTTTGTTAGGACACCAGAGCCCTCGCAGCATTCATTCATCATGAAACTGGATGGATTTTGTTAGAAATGTCTAGTCATGTTCTTGATGAGAAAATAGACCAAGAGTGACACCTCCAGAGCACGAGCTTTCCCTAAGGACAATTTGATTCACATATATTTTATATTTAATTATTTATCTATGCAAATATTTATGACAATTATAATCCTTGAGGGCTTCATATAAATAAAGCTCTGTAAGGAAAAAAAAAAAAAAAAGAAAGAAAGAAAGAAACACACGAAAATAAACCATCTGGGTACCAGAAATATGCCTGAATTACTTTCTCTTACATGGTGTTTCATTTTATTTATTTATTTATTTATTTTTTTCTGAATTGCTGTTCCAACTAGATATTTGTTCTGTGATCTGGCTATTTCATAGTCCTAGTCTGTAGTGTATTTGGACATTAACCATATTCTGAATTCTGAAGTGGTCAAGTGACAACAAAATGCCCAAACACTCTCTTCTAGAAAGTAAGCATATGCATGATTTTTATGTTTGCCCTTTGCAATAGTTTCTTGCATTTACAAGCTTAAGCCATTCCTGTTTGTCAAAAGGACTGACTCTCTTGCTTCATTTAAATCACAGCAAGGAGGTGAAGTAGAGGTGCAGCTGAGTGCTGAATGAAACTGCAATTCAGGTGCTCAACATGATGAGGAAACCTGGCTTCTAAATATTTCTTATCCTGTATGATGTGATATTTTGCAATTAAAAATTCAAAAGCTATGGATGTAGAGAGGTAGCTGACAAGTGAGAATCTGGTTTTATGTGTAGTACACTGCATGGAAGGGTCATTTTGTGCTTAAAAGTTGGTGAATGAAATATATGATACTGGTTACCCACCTAAAACCAAATTTTCTTCCTTCCAAGAGTCTTCCTGGGCTACAGTCACCTTTTCCTTTATTTCCTGGTTCTGCCAATTCTTGCAGTTTCTTCTGAACAACGGCAAAGCATAAGCATGACATCCCATTCCATCTAGCCTGGTTAGGGGCAGATATGAGTGTGCAGAACACAACATGTATATTTATAGCCCCAGGTTTCCTGTGAAGAGCAGTGATGTCCTTGTTTGCCAAGATTTAAGTGAGTCTGCTTAGGTCTGATGTCACTGTTGCGTGTAGGCATTAGGACTTACTGTATTTTTTGGATCAAACTATAGGCATTAAGCTATGTGAATCACTAAATGTATGTACAATTTCTGAATTCCAGATTAAGGTGTGAATTGCCTTCCAAGATGTCACTCTCCCTCTGTATGTATATAAATGCACATAACATGCAGGTGTATCCCTTCTCACATACCCTGGAAATAACTTCAACTCACCTGCTGGACTTGGGGTACATAAGCACTTTAAAGGATAGAATTTTAGACTGCCAAGTGATCCTAAGATCCTATAATGAGAACTATTAGCTCTGTAGTCATAAAATTTGACTTGTTATAGTATCAATTGAAGATGATAATAGCTCAGAAATGCTCCTGGTTGTGTGTATGTATGTTTGTTTTCTTTTTTCTTTCTTTTTTTTTTTTTTTTTTACACGTGTGTTTGTTTATAACATGAAAGCAACTCTTTGAAAGCAACTCTTTAAAAGTGCTTGGCAGTTTGTGCAAGATACAGTACACAAGATACAGTACATCTTTGTTTTATGTATAGACAAATAGTGACACTATTAGAGTACATCTAAAACACTCACTTCAGTTTTGCGTTCCTACCATGCAAGAAAAACAATGAGTTCAGTGGGTGGCCACAAGGGTGGTCAAGACATTCATAATTGCCCTGGCATAACAGGCTGGGCAACTGGGGCTTATTGAGCCTGGAAAAAAAAAAAAAAAAAAAGGTGACTTCAGGGGCACCTTACAGCTGTGCTTACTGCCTTTGGAGAGGTTATCGTAGAATTATAGAATCATAAAATAGAGTTGGAAGGAGTCCATAAGAATCATTGGTCCAACTCCTGGCTCTATACAAGACCGCCAAAAATCAGACCATATGTCTGAGAGCATTGTCCAAATGTTCCTTGACCTTGATCAGACTTACTGCCACGACCACTTCCCTGAGAAGCCTGTTCCAGTGTCTGACCACCCTCTCAGAGAATAACTTTTTCCTAATATCCAACCTAAAACTCCCCTAATGCATCTCCATGCCCTTCCTTCAGGTCCCATCATGTTCACCAGTGAGAGGAGATCAATGCCTGCCTCCATGTTCCTCATCATGAGGAAACATATTCCCCCTCATGAAGTCTCCCTGTTTCTTCTTCTCTAGGCTTAACAAACCAAGTGACTTCAGCTGCTCCTCATACCTCTGTTCCTCTAGACTCATCACCATCTTTGTAACCCTCCTTTGGAAGTTAATAGTTTTATGTCTTTCTTATATTGTAGTGCCCATAACTACACACAGTACTTAATTTGAGGTCTCACCAGCGTGGAGCAGAGCAGGAGAATCACCTCCTTTGACCAGCTAGCAATGCCGTATTTGTTGCATCCCAGGATACAATTGGCCTCTTTGTCTGCCAGGGCACACTGTTGACTCGTATTCAACTTGACCAGAACTCCCAGATCCCTTTCTGTGGGGCTGCTCTCCACCCTCTCTTCCCCCCATATGTATGTATATTCATCTTTGCCCTTCCCAGGTGCAGAACCCAGAACTTCCTCTTTTTAAGCTTCATATTGTACCTTATTTCCCAGCTCTCTAATTTGTCACAGTCTCTCTGAAAGGCCTCTGTACCCTTGAGAGAGTCAAAAGCTCCTCCTAATTTACTACTATCTGCAAACTTAATTAGTATGCATTTGATTCCCGCATCTAAGTCATTTAGGAAAATATTAAAGAGAACTGGCCCTAAAATGGAGCTCTGAGGAACTCCACTAAGTGACTGGCCACCAACCTGATATAACCCCTTTACTGTAACCCTTTGAGCCTGACACATCAGCCAATTTTTCACCCATCGCATTATATTTTTTTTCTCTAGATGTATGATGGAGGTTTTACCCAGAAAGCTTTGCTGAAATCCAAAAATATTACATCAGCTGACTTCCCTTGGTCAACTAGGTAGGCAACCTTGTCATAGAAGGAAATTAAGTTTGTTAAACAGGACTTTCCCCTTGTGAACCTTTGTTGCCTGTGAACAGTGACTGCACTGTCTTTCAGGTGTTCTTCAATAACTCCCAGAATAATCTTGCCCATAATATATCAGGCACTGAAGTGAGACTGACAGATCTGTAATTGCCAGAGTCTTCTTTCTTCCCTTTCTTGACAACTGGAACACTTGCCAGCTTCCAGCCGACTGGGACTTCTCCAGATTTCCAAGACCATTGAAAAACAATTGAGAGAGGTCCTTGTGGCAGCATCAGCCATCTCTTTGAGTACCTTGGGATAAATCACCATAGACTTATGTGCATTCAGTTGAAGCAGCAAAGCCTGCACAAGTTTGAGGTTGGCTTAGAGTTTATCATTACTGTAGTCACAATCCTTCAACTCAGGTCTCCAGGGGTCCCAGAGCCCATCATTGGTTTTGAAGACAGAGGCAAAGAAGGCATTAAATGTCTCTGCTTTGTCTACATCCCTATTTGTGAGGTGAACATCCTCATCAAGTAATGCACCAATGTTAATTCTGGTCCTCCTTTTGATGTTACCATATTGTAAAAAACTTTTTTTTTGTTGTTTTTTTTCTGTACCAATAGTACTAGCCAGCTTCAACTCTAATTGAGCTTTGGCCACACAGATTTTCTCCATACAACGACAAACAACATTTCTGTAGTCCACCTATGTTTCCCTACCTCACTTCCCATGGCCATAACCTTTTCTTTTGCTAGCTAAGCTCTAGAAGATGATTTCTGCTAAGCCAAGCTGGCCTTCTGCCCCTCCCATTGTCATCAGTGAGGCTCTTCACAACGGGGCATGGTGGTATGAGCTGAAACAAAAAGAGCTCAGTCTGAGAAGAAGGAGAAAGTTTCCACTAGGCATACAGTCAAGCAGTGGATCATTCGTCCAGAGTGGCTGTGAGGCTCCATGCATGTAGGTTTTGTCCAGATTGCACAAAGCCTTTTGAGACAAGTAGATTTTGTAGTCTGACATCAGAGTTCTCCCTGCATTGAGCAACATGTTGGACTAAGATCCCTTCCAACTCAAATTAACTGATAAAAATGTTAATAATAAAAAAATAATAATAAAACACTTTTACTTAAATGTAGAATATGCTTTGACTACAAGATTGACTTTCACATTAAAATCTCAGTGGCTGTGTTCATACCTACAGCAAATGTAAAACAACTGCTAGTTTTAGGGACTTTGCCATATGCAGCCTTGTGGGGCAGGTACAAAAAATTCAAGTGACCATGTGTAAAATTAATAAATATCCTGAAGAGAGCTGTGATGGCTCTGAGATCCAAGCTTTCATGATTGTATCATAAATGTGTATTTTTATGTTGGTTTATCTACTATAGAAAATGACAAATCTTCTTCTGTAAACTTCATTTAAAAATACCACAACTGTTCCTTAAATTTAACACATAACTTTGCAACCAAGAAAGAGATAGGTAAACGTTTTTGTTGCT